AAATGTAACATAATAGAATGTGATTGTCGTGGGACATTAGAGTGTTAGCTCCTCTGGTGCAGAGACTGAACAGCTTAGTGTTCCCTGTATTTCAGGTATTATTCAGAGTGTCTCGTGAAGTTTTGGGATCTCAGTATTTGGGGTTCCCTTTTATGCTCCACTTCTGGATTTCCTTTGGATCTTTCCAGGTTTTCAGGATATTCGGGGTTTCAGCAGGGACAAACCAGCTGGAAGTGCAGTCAATGCGATCTGGCAGAGGAGACAGGTACACTTCACTAGGTGATCAGGTCAAGGGAATGTCTTGTAACTATGTGGAGTGTTATCTTCAGCAGATGAAAGCTGTTTTGCACCCCTCACCCTACAGTCAGATGCAAATGCAATCCAGTGCAATGTCCCACTGCAGGGAAATATGACAGTGGAGGAAAAAGCAAAATTCCTGAAGGATGCTTGTGGAAGGTTTAGAGCTGACAGACACAAAACTGCTGCTCCTATCTGAGCACTGGACTTTTGTGTTTTTTCAGCCAAACTAACTGTAAGGCACTAAATGAGTTTAGTTACCACCGTAATCAGGCCCAGAACTCTGTGTAATTAATGTGTTCGGGTTTAAAGGGATGAGGCGGCAACCCTACTTCTGTGTGAGGTAACTCTCGGTGTGTTTGGCCTCCCTTATCATCTGGGGGTGCTGTGTTTAGAGAGCTTATTGTGTGTGGGGTGCTTGTCATCTGGGTGGCATTGTATCCAGGGGGTTGCTGTGAGTGGGGTGCTTGCCATCTGGGAAGCGCTTTATGTGTAGGGGGACACTTCTCATCTTGGGAGTGCTATAAGCGGGAAGCTTGTTAGCTATACTCGGGGCACTCATCATCTGGGAAGTGCTGTGTGTGGGGTGCTTGTCATATGAGGGGTGCTGTGTGTGTGTGGGGGGGGGGGGGAACACATCACCTGGCGGGTTCTGTGGAAAGGGTACTTGTCTTCTTGGGGCATTGTGTGTGTGGGGGGGCATTTATCATCTAGGCAGTACTTATCCTCTGGTGGGTGCTGTGAGGTGGTTGTTAGCGTGTTTGGACTCCTTTATCATCTGGGGGTTGCTTTGTGCAGCATTGTCATTATCTGTGTGTGGGGTGCTTGTCTTCTGAGGGGTGCTGTTTAGAGTTAGGGTTTCTACCTCATCCCTTTAAAACCGAGCACATATTAATTGCACAGGTTCTGAGGCTAATTGCAGATGAGTGAGTTTAATTACCACCTTAATCAGCCACAGAACCTATGTTACCCCAGGTTCACACCTAAGTGGTTTCCGCTTTTGCAGAAACACACTACAGTCCATTTAACATGATTTCCCATGGGACGCGTTCCCATGCGTTTTTTTGGAAAGGGTCAGGGACTTTTTTAAATGCAAAAAGTTGTGTTTTTGGTTCTATAGGCTTCAATGGAAATGCTGCAGAAAAGCATGTAGTGCTAGCAACAAGAATTAAAAAAAAAAAAACGCAGGTGCAAAAAGCAATGCAGAAACGGGTCAAATGCAAACTGCATAGGTGTCAACCTAGCCTAAATAATGTGTTTGGTTTTAAAGAGAAGAGGTGGAACCCTATGTAGAGTACTTATTATCTGTGTGGGGTGCTTATCATCTGGGTGGAATTGCATGCAGGGGGGCTGTGTGTGGGGTGCTTGTCAGCTGTGTTTGGAACACTTATCTGGGAAGTGCTTTGTGTGGGGTGCCTGTGTGTGGGTTTCGTTTGTGTGTCACTTATGTGGGGGGTGCTGTGAGTGGGAAGCTTGTAAGCTGTGTTTTGGGGCCACTTATCATCTGGGGTGCTGTATGTGGGGTGCTTATCACCTGAGTGGCATTATGTGTGGGGAACACTTATCATCTGGGGTGCTGTGTTTGGGGCACTTATCATCTGGGAAGTGCTTTTTGTGGGGTGCTTATCTTGTGTGGGTCTCTTGGCATATGAGGTGTGCTGTGTGTGGGGCACACTTATCATCTGGGGGGGTGCTGGAAAAGGACTGCTGGCCAGCTATGTTCAACTATGAAGTGATGTGTGTGAGGCACTTGTCATCTTGGGGACATTTGTGTGTGTGTGGGATTTATCCTTTGGGGGTGCTGTAAGGAGCCTGTCAGCATGTTTGCCATCACTTATCATCTGGGGGGGTTGCTGTGTGTAGCTTGCTCTTATCTGTCAGTGGGGTGCTTGTCATCTGAGGGGTGGGGAGAGATGTGAGTGGGGAGTGTTTCAGCTTTTTGGGGTCACATCATTTGGGTAAGAGGTGTCTGAAACACTTATCTGGGGCATGTTGTGTGTGTGGGGCACTTATCTGGGGCATAGAGTGCTATGAGTAGGGAGTTTGTCAGCTGTTTGAGGGGTCACTTACCATCTGGGGGAGAGGTGTGTGTGTGTGTGTGTGTGTGGGGTGCTTATCTAAGGAATGGGGTGCTGTAAATAGGGAGTTTCTCAGCTGTTTGGGGTCACTTATCATCTGGGAGAGAGGTGTATGGACGCTTATTATTTGGGACATGTTGTGTATGAGGTGCACTTATCTGGAGAGGGGGGTGCTGTGAGTGGGGAGTTTTTCAGCTGTGTTTGGGGCACTGATCATCTGGGGGCACTATATTTTGGGGTACTTGTCATCTTTTTGGGGCATTCGTTACTTGAGAAGAGCAGAATACCCTGCTAAGATACTTGCTGGGTCACTTGTACTGATGTGCATAATGGTTTGTGAAGCTGCAGTGAGAACATGCTGGGCCTGTACAGTGGGTAGAATTACTCAAGGTATCTGCCTTATGAACTACTCTGGCTGTGGTATGAGCCCCGTCTGCTCTCTGCAGGTTATCTGGCATATTGAACTTGCTGTGAAAGCAAAATGTCTGACCTTAGTTTAAATGAAAATGTGAAAATATACAGTTGTATATTTGCAGTGATCACCAGGTGTGCGTGAAAGAAAGGTATTAGCAATGTAGAAATGATTCTTTACAGTAAAGGCAGTCAGACCACATTCACAATTTTGTACTCACAGCAAGATGAATTGCAGAGTGTGCCTGTTGTGACATATGACCATTTATTTTCAACGTCACTGCAAAATGCATAGACAGCCAAAATAAGCACACTTGAGTCTCAGCACAGCACACAGTAAAGAACACGTGTCTTGCTAGGGAGCGTGCTGAAGACAGCAAAGGCTGGTACATTTCTTCACCTGTGATGGTGTATATGTGTTCAGGGCCTTATCGGTGCACATGATACAACCCAAAAATACACAAAACACACATCAATGTGTACACAAAGTATTAATGTTCAGCTGGAGAATGCAAACCTCACGAAGCAGTAATAGCAGGACAACTAGCAAGATTATTTTATTTTTTGTTCATAATTTTGTTACAATTTCTGCAGTCATTCTCAGTGAAGGATCATGGGAATATTCAGTTCTCCCCCCTCCTGTAAGGGGGTTATCAGCCATGACTGGATTTCATATTTTAGAACCTGATGGTTGTGAGTCATCTATGTGTGACCAACAAGTCGTGACTATACTGCATGTTCATTCCAGTGCCTAACGTCATGTTCAGAGCTATGAGGAGCTGTTTTTTTTTTTTTTGCACAAGAACAGGTCCAGGATGGGCTCAGGAGATATTTAAATCCCATTATACCCCAGAAAATCACCAAAACACCTCCCCTACTGACTCCAATGTATTTCACACAAAAATGGCAACATGTGCCAAATTAGCCAAATGTTTCATTTGTACTCAGGCCGCACTCTCTGGGACCTATTGTACAGGATCAGGATAGGCAGCACTCTCTGTAACCTATTGTACAGGATAGGGGCGGCACTCTCTGGGGCCTATTGTACAGGATAGGCAGCACTCTCTGGAACCTATTATAAAGGATAGGGGGCACTCTCTGGAACCTATTGTAAAGGGTAGGGGGCACTCTCTGTGGCCTATTGTACAGGATAGGCGGCACTCTCTGTGGCCTATTGTACAGGATAGGCGGCACTCTCTGGGGCCTATTGTACAGGATAGGCGGCACTCTCTGGGGCCTATTGTACAGGATAGGCAGCACTCTCTGGAACCTATTATAAAGGATAGAGGCACTCTCTGGAACCTATTGTAAAGGGTAGGGGGCACTCTCAGTGGCCTATTGTACAGGATAGGCGGCACTCTCTGTGGCCTATTGTACAGGATAGGCGGCACTCTCTGTGGCCTATTGTACAGGATAGGCGGCACTCTCTGTGGCCTATTGTACAGGATAGGCGGCACTCTCTGTGGCCTATTGTACAGGATATGCGGCACTCTCAGGGGCCTATTGTACAGGATAGGCGGCACTCTCTGGAACCTATTGTAAAGGGTAGGGGGCACTCTCTGGAACCTATTGTAAAGGGTAGGGGGCACTCTCTGGGGCCTATTGTACAGGATAGGCGGCACTCTCTGGGGCCTATTGTACAGGATAGGCGGCACTCTCTGGGGCCTATTGTACAGGATAGGCGGCACTCTCTGTGGGCCTATTGTACAGGATAGGCGGCACTCTCTGGGGCCTATTGTACAGGATAGGCGGCACTCTCTGGGGCCTACTGTACAGGGTAGGCGTCACTCTCTGGGGCCTACTGTACAGGATGAGCGGCACTCTCTGGGGCCTACTGTACAGAATGGGCGGCACTCTCTGGGGCCTACTGTACTGTACAGCACAAGCGGCACTCTCTGGGGCCTGTTGTACAGCGCAAGCGGCAGTCTCTCTGGGGCCTGTTGTACAGCGCAAGCAGTCCTCTGGTGGCTAGTGTAGAGTACAGACAGTACTGTATGATATCTGGTGTGCAGAACAAGCAGTGCTCTCTGATGTCTAGAGTACGGCACAAGCAGCACTCTTCCGGAGGTTGTGTAGGGAGCAGGCAGTGCACCTCTGATGACTATAGGAAAGAGCAGAGGCAAAGCCAGTTTATATTTTGTAAAATGGGAGTGCTCACAGTAATCGGTGGGGCTGTATAAATCTAGCAGGCTTTTACAGCCCTACTGGCTGCAGTTACAGGACCACACTCAGTACACAAGGAGCAGAGGGTCTAATCCTTCGTTTCCTCCACAGAAACATCTTCTTAAGTGCCCCTCTAAAGCTGTCATGCAGCCAGGCATAAAGAAAGGAGTTGGTACATGCAGACATCATGGCAAACCAGTGACACAGGAGTTGTACTAGGTTGAAGTACTGCTTGTCAATGAGGTCAATGTCAATATCTTTCATAATATTAAATATATGTAAAGGCAGCCAACAGACCCCGAAGGCCCCAACCACCAGCACCAAAAGACGGAATGTTTTTCTCCTTCGTGCTCGGTCCCACTCTGCCTGGATGTAGGTGATGTTCCCAGGGACCACCCGGTTCTTCAGTTTGACGGAGATCCTCAAATAAGACAAGGAGATGACAATAAGAGGTAGAGCATAGGTGAGAATGAGTGTGCTGTATGCATATGCAAGACGTTTCTTCTCCATCCCAAACCAAAACTCTTCACAGATGGAGAAGTCTAGATCCGGGAACTCGACATGGTATGTGTGAACCAAAGCTGGGGTGGCCATCAGACAACTTACCAGCCAAATTGCAGCCAAGATGTAGGCACAGGTGGGGATAGTGAGTCTTCTCCTCAGTGGGTAGACAGTGGCATGATACCTGTCCACTGATATCACTGTCAAGGTGAAGACAGAGACGTACACTGTCACGGGCTGCATCAGGTACACAAAATAGCACATGAAGTGCCCAAACACCCATCCCCGGGGCTCAAAGGCATAGGCTAAAGTGAGGGGCACACAGGTGGCACACATCAGCATGTCAGAAAAGGCCAGGTTGCCCACTAAGAAGTTGGTGACGTTGTGCATCTTCTTGGTCTTGCAGATGACATAGATGAGAAGATAATTTCCGATGATACCAATGAAGACGACCAGGGAGTAGCAGGGGATGATGAGTGGCTTGTAGCAATGAAGGAGCTGGAGGCCCATGAACTGGATGCTGCTATTACCAGCCATTCCTGGGAATAGGCTCTGAGCACTCCGATTCCTCTGCGCCATCTTCACCCAGACAGGAGATGCCTGGACCAAGTCTAATTCAATGTTCCTAAAGCAAGAGAGATGTATCATTACTACAGGGTGATTGCACTCTACTATGATACATCCACCAAAATTATTGTACTCTATTGAAAAACCTCTTTCCCTGTGACTGCACTCTACTGCAAGAACATATAATTGTGATTGCACTCTATTCTTGAGACCTCATCCCCTGTGAATGCACTCTACTGTGAGACCCCATCATCTCTGGACTGTATTCTCCTGTGAGATCACATCCCCATTAAAGAATTCCACTATGAGACCTTTATAGCTGTGTCTTTACTGTACTGTGAGACCTTTTTCTCTATGACTTGACAGTACTGTCAGACCTCATCCTCTATGGCTTCACATGGGAAAAAGGAGAGAAGCGCCTCTAAGTGCAATAAGTCTTTTAATTCAAGTCTAAATGTAGAAACACTCACATGTGTGAAGTAATCATAAGCATAAAAAAACCGTGGTTAACAATCGTTAATGGTGGGGTGGTAACCCGGGTGAAGAGCCGTCATCTCTCTGCGATGTGGGGAGGTCAGCTCTCGGCTGGAACAGCGTGGTGGCTGGAGGGGGAACAGCGGTGAGGCCAGCCTTCATGCACGTCCTCCCTCAGAGCCGGATGGAACGCACGCTGGAACGTAGCAGCGGCGTGGCCGTGATGACGTCAGATCCCAGGGTGCACTGCGACGCGTTTCGGAGCATGCACTGGCCGTGGAAGGCGAAAGTGCACTCCTTTTTCAAGCAGGGGGAGGTGGATGAACAGGGGTGAATATATAGGGAACGTGAGTCTAATTGATCAGTTAACCAATTAACCAGTGATTGACCATTGCTGTCAGGTGAATAGTGTAAAGTCATGGATGTTAACTGGGGGGTAAAAGGAAACCAAATGGGAAAAAAGAGAGGATGTAATAAATAAGAAAACAAAAGAAAAAAAAAAAAGGGAGGACGTGCACGAAGGCTGCCTCACCGCTGTTCCCCCTCCAGCCACCACGCTGTTCCAGCCGAGAGCTGACCTCCCCACATCGCAGAGAGATGACGGCTCTTCACCCGGGTTACCACCCCACCGTTAACGATTGTTAACCACGGTTTTTATGCTTATGATTACTTCACACATGTGAGTGTTTCTACATTTAGACTTGAATTAAAAGACTTATTGCACTTAGAGGCGCTTCTCTCCTTTTTCTCATCTACAGAAGTTGCTACAGCTTATTTGGAAGCCTTGCCCTCAGTGCCACACGGAATCCTACGCTCTTCATACAGTAGCCACTAATACCACCATCACCCATACTACCATTTCCCAGGACTTTGCAGTGTTTGCGCTGTTACAACCCTTCCTCATTTTTTCTATGGCTTCACATTACTGTGGGATTTCATCTGCCATGACTGCACAGTACTGTTAGACCTCTATCCTCATGACTGCACCCTATTGCAAGACCTCATCTTCTATTGTTGAGGACATTAATACTGAAATTTTATAGCTGGGCAACTCCTATCCTCATATTGATTAGTGATTCCAAATTATTAACTACTGCAGTAGGGAACAGACACAAAAAGATACACTCAGCATCTTCCCAAATAACTATTCTGTTTAATCGGCACATTTTGAAGTTTTTTTTTTTAAACACATGATTACGTAGGTATCAGATTAATATTGCAATTGTACTTTTATGGTAACAAGGGGCGTTACATAGGCAGACTAATTTCTAATCAGGACTTGAAGGAATGCAAACATAATGAAAACATTATTAGTGCCGTGTGCACAGTGAGTGCAGTGTACAATACATAGACAAAGCATACAAAATAGAATACAATTTTATTTAGAATTTACAAATTTCCTTTACAATCTCCCCTCTTTTGATCAATATTTTACATTTTGATCACAGATTACACCTACTATGACCTTTTAACCTGTAACCTCCTTACATTTAGGTAGAACTACTCCTGGCCTAAGAGGCAAACTCAACTGGGGAGAATCTAATAGCTAAGAACAGCTATATCATTACAAAATGCATTTTTATTTTGACTAACTTATATAAAAAAAAAACAAATGATTGAAAAATATTTACAGAGTAATGGGCTGTACACTCAGTTCCTGTGGCCAGAATGGCCTTGTAGCTTAATTGTGGATATGCTGACTTATCAGCATAGTTAAACACAGACAATTCTACATAAATTGGAAGACATATAAAAGAGAATATGACTTCAACATGGCTGATCTATTTTCAAATCACATTAAATATACATATATCCCTTAATAATATATTTATTAAAGCATTTGAATATATAGTACCCCAGACTGTGATTCCAAGAGGAAACCAAATTAAACACAGATACTTTCACTTAGACATTTTTGCAGTGTCTGGTGTGGCTTTTCCTTCATGTTTTGTAAACTGTACATGAAATAGAAGTTGTATTGTGTCTCCAACCATTTCCTATATATATTTTTAAATGTCTCTTAACAATCCACAAGTCACCTTGCTTTAGTTTATGAGATCCTTCCAAACTGTTAGGATCTGGAATTTGGGAAAAAAAACACTTAAATGAGTTTGTAAAAACCTAAAAAAATCTGCAACATTCACTGTGAGATCTGCATGGAGGCCTTCAGCTACTGAGAAAGATATAAGCAAGTGAGAAATACACTTCCAAACTAAATCACATAGGGAGAGAGTTCATATATCCCTATAGGGGCTTAAGAATATGAAGACATTCAGACCATAGTTTTCTAGTTTCTGACATCCCTTTAGTTACTCTACTTTTTTCCACTACATTGTAGATGGTAGGGGGTGTAAAATAAAACCTCAACTTCTTGTAAGAACTCTCCTCTAAAATTAGTTCCTGTGTTACTCTCTCTAGCTTCTGGGACTCTGTACTTACAAACTACTTCTGATAACACTCTTTACTGTGGTCTTGGCAGTAGCATTTGCATTGGACAAACTTCTGGCCATTCAGAAAACATGCCCATACAGATCAATGCATACTCCTAAGATCCTCACTTGGGCATCTAGATATATCCTTTTGTAATCTCTGGAAGGGATGTTCAGTTTTTGGTAACACCTTTGGTAACAGGTAAAACAAGAAGTGGTATATTCAAAAACAACTGTGGTGAAACCTGGCGCTATCCCATGCTCACTTAGGCAGCCATAACTGCTTTTGATGCTCTATGTGTCAAGCTGGAGGCAAAAGAGTGGCTGGCAGACCTAAAAGATCACCTTTTTCAAAAGTCCTGTTTCATAAGAGGTTGCCCCCACTGTGGAACACTTGTTCCACACATTCCAGAATAGCCGTAGAATGTGGAAAACACATTCCAGAATAGCCGTAAAACATACATCCCATTTAAAAAAACACTTTTCATAACTTAAAATAGGGAATACATACAATCGAACAAAGCATATATTCGGATAGCTCAGTTTAATGCGAGTCGCCTGATATTTTACACCCCTAGATTAAGTCTACCCGAGAGCACAAAGCGATATCTCTTTAACCGACACAGGTATATATGTCATATCTGATATCTAGATGTTCAGCAGATGATTCTGCATATTATTCTACTACTGGCTAGGCTGCTACATGTACCTAGGGAAGGGTATTGACCATGATATAAACTGGGAGGGATTTGGTCATAGCCTGAGTTCCTTGCCTAAAAACACCCCTCCCCAAATGAGGCGATTGGTTCTCTGCTTTAAGGAGACACCCTGCTGGGTTCCTAGAAAAAGGCTGTTATGCTTTGAGTTGAAGTTGAAGAATTCTCCCTTTTAACATCAGGAACTAACTTTGGGAGAAAAGGCACCCTTTTGCTCAGGACCCTTGAAGCTGCTTAAATAAGGATTTCTGCATGTATTCTACCTTCTTAAACTTCTTTCTTTATCTGTGTGCTGTGTTATTGCTCTCTGTGTGTGTATATATATATATATATATATATATTGGCTACATCTTTTTCTGTAAATATTTTATTTGCACCATTTTGACCTTTTTAGTAATAAATCCTATTATCTGAAAAGTGTTGAACTGTTTCTAAAACTCTTTAATGCAAACTAAGAATCTCTGAAGAGCGCTACTGTGTGTTTTAAACTTCTGAATACATCTGCCTGCGGTGACAGTGTGTATGCAGACGCTTATTCAAACATCATAGTGTTACTGTTTGGCGCGTTTCCTCTTTCTCTGTACAAAAAGGAGGTGGTGGCAGTGTGAAGGGTTAATTGCGTAATTAACCTGACTCAGTAAGAATCGCTGTCAGGCTGCAGTACATAGATTGTGGTCCATTAGCTGGAAAATCTTTGTCCAGGGTGCAGCTGAGCGTGGTATTGTTGGGTACGTGACAGCGCGGTTTTAGATTGGCTAGTCTTTCGGTCACGAGTTGGTGATAAGGGCTGGGGGTCTGACGCCGTGACCGTCACAATAGGCAGCCCCCACAAAAAGAATTTCAGTTTTGGTGAGAAACTCCCCAAAGGTAAATACTTATAAAGGGATGTAGACCCCGCAGCTTTTCCCACCAGGTGATTATGAGGAACTAGACCTTCCCATTCAGAGTCAGTCTGCAAACCTGGCTGCCAAATGTGCTAGGTACAGAATGGGGGGTAAGCATTGCAGTGAGGAAAGGGGTTCAGAGTTGAAGGGAGAACTGTGCTGGGGTTATGGGGAGGAGCTTTGTAATGGTGTTTCTTACAATGACACCACCATACGCATGGCCATTTTTTTTTTTTTCTCTTCAGTGACACCACCGATTCCCAGCATTTTGGTTTTTTTAGTGACACCACTGGACATTTTTTTCTTTGCCATATATTTGTGCACCTATTTTAAACTTGTTATTGGTACTATTTCATTGCATGTCACAGACATAACAAACATTTTGGCGCTCGTCACTATGGCCCAGCTGTTTCCTTCTCCACGCAACAGGGCAGGGGTGTGGGTGTTGGGGGGTGCAGTTTTCCATCTTTGCCCTGGGCACCGGTTGACATTGTCCTACCACTGTACTA